CTTAGTCTTCATTCTAGTTAGTAATTTCTCTCAATGCACTCCGATGTGGTTTCGAGTTTAGGAAGCATTTTCATCATATATTTGAGAGTTCGCATAACAAAATGATTCTCAAAATTAACGAAATACATCTGAATTTATTTCTGAAAGTGTAATTATAAGTCATTCAACAATTCTTGTTAGCCTCACAAAGCAAATGCACCAAACAGAAGTAGCAGATTGCAGGAATTTTTTTTATAACCTCATAAGTTTTACATTTCTTATGCTTAGTAACTGAACCAAACGTTAAAGTTTAAAAGGAGTAAAAATGTTTAGGAAAATTTTATGAGTCCGAGCTCCCCGAAATCAAAACCTATTTACATTAAACGAGCCCGTACCCACGTCAGGCCCGGTCTTTCAGACTCAGGCTGAGTCCGTCTCATCTCTATCGTATACTCTTGGAATAATGATGAGATGCCATCAACTCTGATTACTGAAATTCAACTTTCTTAACCCAAGCATATGTGAACCATATAAAGCAGAATAACGGAAGATTTGAAAAATAATTTTTAGCTTACTTCCTTGCATAAGTAGAAATACTTTAAGAAAGTCGTATAAAATAGTTTTTTCCTCCCACAAATAAAACAACTTTCTTGTTGAAGATTGGTCCTCAGATATATTTTCCATCGAACCAGCATAGGAATTTTTAAGAATTAAAAAAAAATGTTTTTAAATAGCAGTTGCATTTTTATGCCAAAAATTGTACCTAAATCATCCTCACATATAATAAGAATTCTTCATAATAATAGAACTTACTATGATTCGCATAATAATAAGACTTACTTTTAGAATAAAAATTTATTTGAAAAAGGAAGAAAAAAAATCTGAAGGGTAGTAAACCCACTGACTTATTTTGGAATTTTTTCTGAGTTTAGCGAAAAAAGAAAACTTAAGATGAAATAATGAACTTTCGAAAAAACGCAAGTGTTGCTAAATAAAGCCGCTTTCAGCTACTCAAGAATACAATGCTCTTTGCAAAGATGATGAATATACTAATTTGTATTCTGTTTTCTTTTTGGGTTCCTACTTAATTCAAGTACCTGCATCTACAGTTACAGCTAATGGAGTGGTTTCAGAATTCAAATTAATGCTGACAAAGAAACAGGCGCATAAATATGACGAAACAAAATTCTGGAACGATGAATCATTCTAAATGAAGTAGGGAATTCTTTTGGAAAGTATGGTGGCTTTCAGACAATCACTTATTGATTTTATTAGTAGGACTCTAAAAATGAAGTTTATTTAACTACATTTAAAAAAAGGAAGCCGTAAAGACAAACTTGATCAAAGACATTGATATTCGTTTCATTTTAATGGGAGTAGTAAAGATTTTTATTGCATGGAAATGGGAGAAAAAAAATTTCTGGAAGTAAATTAATTCTTGCTACCATTTCAATATTTAATCGAATAAATTTAAGGCCTACCTCAAAATATTTTTGAGAAAATTCTGAATTGGAAGATATCGTATAATAACAAGTTAATTTTTTGATAGAACTAACCCGCATTTGCGTTACATGGAGAGGAAGACCACGAGAACCTCCCACGTTTAACCTGACGGCAAGGGGACTCTAACCCATGATCCGTCTACCACTGAGGATATTTCACGTCAGCACTATGGTCGGTGCAAGCCGGATGCTGAATTCGTATCGACCAGCTATAGCCGGGATTGAACCCCTGTTCACCTCATTGGAAGGCGAGCACTCTATCCCCTGAAATTATGAGCGACAATACAAAATGTTGTTTAATTATAAATGGCAATACATTTTAAACTAATTAATTAATAAATATAAATATTCTCCTTTTAATTTTCTTCTTTCTAACGATGTCTAGGTAACAGTAGAACAACTAAATTCTACCAAACGGTTGCAATTTCTTTTAATAATTTTCTAACATTTAAGAAATTTGTAGTCTCAGGAAAACTTTTCGAAGAGTGTTCTTCAAAATCAAAGAAAGAAAAAGTCATTTTTTGAGTGTCTTGGTTAGTCTTCAAACAAAGCTTTAATTTCAAGTAAACGATTTAAAATTGAAGACTATTAAATGCAGACTATTTTAAATTAAAGATTGTCTGAACTTTAGAAATGGGAAAATAACTAAAAAAATTTAAAAATGAATCTTTTAATAATTTTAAGAAAGCATTCATTTGGTGAGATTCTTCCAGTAGGATTTTTGTAAATTTTTATGAGTTGAAATAAGTCAGCGTTAAAGTAACTATTCAGATATTAAAAAATTAAAGTCACATCGATATGAAACCCCTTAACAATCATGTATAACTATTGCAAATTCAAAGCACTTATAAAAATTCACTAAAAAAAATTATGTCGCAAGTCGATATCTCATTAGTTTCGTTATTAAAATATGCATTTTGGGAAAACTCTAAATTTGAAGACATCATACAATGATATAAAACTATATTATTTAAATTGTAAATAAATCGAACTTGCTGACCAAACTATTGAAACGGTTTTTGTCTTATTTCCATTATTTATATATGATGCAAATGTTTTTTTCTACTGCTGCCATCTATTGATTGCTTATTAACATAGCTTTAAGTGTGATTTAAAAGAATCGATGTTTGCTCTGAATTTTTCTGTTTTCAGTTCCTTTAAAGTGAGTTCATTTTTATCTCTTGTCAGCGTAAAATTAAATGTTACTCTCCTAATTTAAATTAAATTTTCAGATTTAGCAAAAGAAATTTTTAAGTATGTTTTGACAATGTTTTCTGCTTCCCTCTTCCAAATATATCAGAGACACATGAATATATATTGTATTTTAATTAACAGTTAATTTTAAGTGCTGCCATCTATTGCAAAACAAATATACTTTGAATTACAGTACTAAGGAGTCAATGGTTGCTTCGCATCTATCAATTCCACATTAATGCTCACTAAATGTACAAGAAATTAACTCTTCTTTCCGCGTTAATGTTGCAGTTGTCAATTTTATGTTCAAAAATTGCTTTAGTTCATTTAATATGACGGTTCATTTCAATTTAAATGTATTTTTACATTTATCAACAATAATGATTCAAGCTATTTTTTTAAGAAGGGAATTGTAAGGAAAACATTAGTATTTAAACTATAAACTAATAATGTAAAGCAAAGTTTCTTGTAAAATTTGCATACACAAAATCTCTAGAATAAATTGTATTGCATATAACTTACACAGTATTTATGTGTATGTAATGTATATAGTATTTGATATTTCGCACTTAGAATTTTTTTCATCATAATTCAATCAAATGCAGTTCGCAGTTGTAGGGGAGAGTGGGGTCAATTGTAACATTTNTTTTATTGTCACAAGTGTGGAAAATTCCGCTTCGCAAAGATACACTGTAGCAAACGGAATTATAGCTGCCATAGCTCGATTTACAAGCAATGGTTAGGCTTCCAAACGTTTTAAAAATTAGGAGTAGTCAGCGGACCCCTAAAATATAACTCATGAACCCCTTAGGGGTTCATGAACCTTAGGTTAAGAAACCCTGCTTTAAAGTGAGTTCATTTTTATCCCTTTTCATCGTAAAATTAAATGTTACTCTCCTCATTTAAATTAAATTTCCAGATTTAACAAAAGAAATTTTTAAGTATGTTTTGACAATGTTTTCTGCTTCCCTCTTCCAAATATATCAAAGAGACACGCGAATATATATTATAGTATTTAAATTAACAGTTTATTTAAAGTGCTGCCATCTATCGCAAAAAAATATGATTTGAATTATAGTATTAAAGAGTCAATGGTTGCTTCGTATTTATCAATTTCATATTAATGCTCAATAAATTTACAAGAAATTGACTTTTCTTTCCGCGTTAATGATGTAGTTGTAAATTTTATGTTCGAAAATTGTTCTAGTTCATTTAATATGACGTGTCATTTCAATTTAAATGCATTTTTACATTTATCAACAACAATGATTCCAGCTATTTTTCAAGAAGGGAATTGTAAGGAAAACACTAGTATTTAAATTATTAACTAATAATGTAAAACAAAGTTTCTTGCAAAAACTGCGTACACAAAATCTCTAGAATAAATTGTATTGCATATAACATTCATTCATTTATGTGTATATAACTGATATTTCGCTCTTAGAATTTTTTTCATCAAAATTCAATCAAATGCAGTTTGCAGTTGTGCCAATCAAATGCAGTTTGTACAATTTTCTTAAAAAATAAATGAACTTTTTTTTGTGCAATGTATTATATTTGTAAAGGAAATTTTATAAAATAATTAATTCTTAGAATACTAAATTTCAACTGTATACTAGTTAAAATGTGAGCATTTGCAATACATACTAGACAAATGTGTTGTAAATGCATCAGCAAAGTGTGAATGTTTTGAAACACTTGACATGAATTTCCATTATTGAGAATCGTAACATTTAAAAAAATGTAGATAGGAATATCTGCTATTGAGATTTGCAATATTAAAAAATGTATTTAAATAAGAAAATTTAGCATTAAAAATTTCTGTATGATTTTTTTAAATCTTCAGAAATTTTAAATGCCCATAATATCAGAGTTTGAAAAAAATCAAAATAATTTGAAAAATAAATTATTTATATTTATTGCTTTATGTTTAAGTTTCGATGTTCATTTAATTTCCATTTCAATACATAAATTACAAAACGTTTAGCCAAATTGATTTTGAATATATTTTGAATCATTTCTCTAAAACTGAAATAAATTTACAAAATATAACATCTTTTTAGTTTGCCTTTTTGGAAGATAATTTTTACTTTTTAAGCGTTTTTTTCAAGATTCAAATATTGCTTAAAAAATTCTCATATTTAGGAATATTGATGTAAGATATTATTCATGAAATAATATTAGTTCTTTTCTACTTTCTTAATAGAGATTTTAAAGTAGAAATATTTCTCTGCTGTAGTGCGAAAAAAAAAAGATTTAAACAGTATAGTTAATTTATTTAATTAAATTTTAAATCAATCGTTCAAATGAAAAAAACAAACAATATTTTAAACATAAGTATAATGTTTATAAAGAAAAAAAAAATGTTGTACAATATACAAAAGTTGCCCCATGTTAAATACAAGTGTTATGATAATCCTCAGTGACTCTTCATCAACTCTTGAAGACAGCCGATAGCTCCAAAGTAACCCTGGAATTATGCATAAATGTTAATAAATGTTATGCTAGAAAAAAAAGTTCACCTTTGATAACACACAATATAATTCAAATCAAAGCAAATATTGATTTAAATATTGATATTTCTCTATTATCGTACTCGTTTATTTATTTACTAATTACTGAAATCAATTAAAAATGTTAAATTTAAAAAAATATATATATTTCAACACAAAGTAAGTTTTACTTTAAAAATCGTTTATCTATTATCGTATCGCATTGCAAACTTATTTTGGAAATAATTAAAAATATTACATTTGAAGAGAAATAAAAAGTACTGCAAATTTATTTCGAATCAAAGCGAGTATTACTTTAAATATTGTTTTTCTATTATGGTACCGAATAGCAAAGTTACTCTGGAATTAATTAAAAATCTAAAATTTAGAAAGTTTACTTTATTTCAAATATATTTCGAATCAAAATAAGCGAGGCATTTATCTATTTTTTCGAATTTGGAATGGAAAAAATATTTTAAAGTATTGCAAATATATTTCAAATCAAAGGTAAGGATTACTTTATTAATCGTTTATTATTTATCGTATCGTATTGCAAACTTATTTTGGAATTAATTAAAAATATTACATTTGAAAAGAAATAAAAAGTACTGTAAATATATTTCGAATCAAAGCAAGTATTACTTTAAATATTGTTTTTCTATTATGGTATCGATTAGCAAAGTTACTCTGAAATTAATTTAAAATGTTAAATTTAGAACAGTTTCCTTTATTTTAAATATATTTCGAATCAAAATAAGCGAGTCGTTTATCTATTTACTAATTACTACAATCAATTAAAAATGTTTAATTCGGAAGAAAAAAAACATTTTAAAGCATTGGAAATATATTTCAAAACAAAATAAGTATTACTTTAAAAATCGTATCGTATCGTATTGCAAGGTTTTTTGTAATTAATTGAAAATATTACATCTCAAAAGAAATAAAAATGACTGCAAATATATTTCGAATCAAAGCGAGTATTACTTTAAATATTATTTTTCCATTATGGTATCGAATAGCAAAGTTACTCTGGAATTAATAAAAAATTTTAAATTTATAACAGTTTGCATTATTTAAAATTTATTTCGAATAAAAATAAGAGAGTCAAAGTAACTATTACTAAATATCATCTATTTTTTATCATATCTTATGATAAAGCAACTGTAAAATTGATTAATTAATGAAAAATAGTAAACTCTGGAAAAGCAGTTCACATCACTGCAAAAAATATTTCGAATCAAAACAAATATTATTTCAAATATCGTTTATCAGTTACAAATGTAATTATAATGGTTCATAGAGGTAAAACCTTCTTCTTTAATTTTTTTTTCTTTGCATAAGAGGACTACAAATAACAGTCCTTTTATGCAAATATTATCCAACTGCATTTTACGCAAAAATGTAGTCCTTTTATGAGTAATTTGAAATAACGTTTATCGATCAATAAAATATTGCCATAATGTTGTCATGAACAAATATAAATATTTTAGATTAAAAAATAGTGTTCCCAAAATTATAATTTAGGTTGAAAAATACTTAATAATTAATGCAGTTATGCCATCAATACAAATATGGTGAATAACATAATTAATTTTACTAAATAGGTTTAATTTATGAAAAACAGTTTCTCTGACATAGCAACTTTTTTCTTGCATCAGTCCGTTAAGAAATTAATTATTCGTCATTTACTCAAACAATTTTGATAAAGACTTAATTTGATGAAAATACAAGAAACATTAATGTCTAACATCATTTTGCCTTCTTAATCACTTAGTTCACCTGCATTATTTTAATTAAGTTTGGTGCAAGGTCAAAAATTTATTTAATAAAAGACATATAAACAGGGTATTTCGTAATAATTACCCTCAATATTTATTTTAAAAACTCTGATAAATAAAAGTATGTAGTTTAAAAGTAGCAAATTCATATTTTAGAGAGAAAAAAAAAACGATAGCGAAATAATATAGAAGAAGGCGAGACTGGAAGCATTAAAACGTGTTTGATTGCTGAAGTAAATAAAGAAGGGTTATGATAAGGCAGTTACTAGAAAAACTTTCAAGTTTCACCAGGGAATCAAATTGGTTATCATGTTTTCGATCCTAATTTCTCAATAAATTTGTGAGTTATGAAATAAAGATAAATGATGAAATTATGAAAGATTTTAAAATTTTTTTAATTGAAATTCCAATTTTATCATACTTAACTTCGAACTCACGATACAATCATTACTTTTTATTTTACTTCATTTATTTATTTTTTATTTTAATACCGGCATTAAACAACCGATCCTCTAAACTTACGACTATTAATATTCAACTAGCCTCGTACATTTGAACCCAGCCCAGAATATCAAGATCTTCAGGATCAAGCATTGGGACAGACTAGCCTTCGTGGAGGACTTTTTGATGCAACTAACCCTCATTTGCGTTATGGGAAGAAGAAAACCACGAAAACATTCCACAGGTGGACGAGCGTCTTGATTGCGAAGCCAATGGTTGCGGCTTCGAATCCCGCTCAGAGCATGGATGTTTCTATCCGTGTTTTGTTCTTTGTTGTGTAATGTGTGATTGTGGCTCACCCTAACGGTGGCAGTGTGGCGTGGGTAATGTTGCTCGTATCCGTGACTTAGGCTGGCAGGTGCCCAACGGATAACGTTAAATGAGCAGCACTTCCGGAAACTCCGAGGCAAAGAATGAGAGTTCAGTACCTGCCGTTAAAAAAGTTAAGAAAGAAAAAAAAACATTTCACCGATAGACGGCAAAGAGATTCCAACCCATTATCTGTCTACCACTAAGGATATTTTACGTCAGCACTGCGGTCAGTGCTGACGTATCAACCAGCTACCTCTGGAATTCGAATCCGGGAAACCTCATTTCAAGGCGAACACTCTATCCCCTAAACTCCCCGGCTCAATGCTTGATATTTTTTCTTCTTCTTTTTTTGACCGTCGTTGAGCAACCGACCCAATTTTATGAGTTTACGACTACTAATGTTCAACTATATAGCCATGTAATTTTGACCAATCCAAAAGACAAGGGAACTCCTGGATCGAGTATTAGGAGAAATTTGCCTCCATGGAGGACTTTTTGATGGAGCTAACCCGTATTTGCGTTACACGGAGAGGAAGACCACGAGAACCTCCCATGGTTAGCCTGACAGCAAGGGGACTCTTCACCCATGATCCTTCTATCACTGAGGACATTTCACGTCAGCACTGTGGTCGGTGCAAGCAGGATGCGGAATTCGTATCGACTGGGATTCGAACCCGGTTCGCCTCATTGAAAGGCGAACGCTCTATCCCCTGAGCCATCGCGGCTCCAATGCCTACTATTAAGAAATTTGAATGTAGAATATGCCTTAATACCTCATGTTCTAAAAACAATGCTTTGAGAGCCCCACGAGACCAAAAATCCATGGCGTATGATAAGAGCTTCATGGCTATTGTGTTACCTCGCAGGAAGTTGCCAACAAATACAACTCTTTGAATGCCCTGGAAAAAAATAATTAATTAAATGTAATTAGACAATACAAATTGGTATCATGCAATTAAAGTTAGTAGAGCTTCTTCACATTTTATCAAAGTAATATTTAAGGTCTGACTATTAATTTTTTGCTAAACTATCCATGAGTTATGTTAACTACATTATATTTGTATGCATTTTTATTACTATTTAGTTATTATGCCTTTATTTAATATAATGAATATAATAAAACCAAGGTAGTTCGTTCGTAATTTATCATTATAAGGATGTTATGGTTGCGCCTTAGGTTGTAGATATTTATAATAAGTAAACTGAAATTACTAACAATATTAATTACAGTTATGTGTCATCGGCGTATGGATTTGTATATTATAATATATTATTTGGAGTGAATATTTCAACCTAATAATCAATGATATGGAGAAAATGAAGGAATTTTAAGAAGAAATAAACAATTTTAAATACCGAAAAATTAATTAGAAAATGCTATCAAAGATACAGAAGAACAAGTAGTTATAACACATTCTACATTAAATTCATAAAATAAAATTTAAAAGCTGAGTTTTCCAAGCGAAGTAAAAAGAAACATTTTTTTTAATTTTCGTCAGGCCTAAAAGTTTGAGCAAATCATTTTCAAAACACGAAGGAGGTGAATTTTTGGTGATGACAGAAATTTAACACGAAAGTGATGCTCCTTACGTTTCTCGCTTTTAGGAGAGAAAAAAAAAATTTTTTTCCTTCCCTTTTTTAGTTTACTTGTAAGACTTAGTTTTCAATTATTATAATTATTATTTTATTCAATAATTTTGTTCGTTTTAATTTTGTGTTTGTTTGTTTGTGACAAAAAAGTCGTCGAAATTTCAATTTGAAATAGAAGGAATATCTTTCCTTGTAACATTTAGAGAACAATTCTAACTTGTAAACTCTCATCAGGCATAGAGCTTCTGTTGAAATTCGAGTCTCTAAGCTATTCGAACATTGGTTGTCATTTCGATTGACTATATAAGTACTTTATGGCGATAAAGAGGTCAGATAACGATTATAACTTGTTATTATTAGTCTAGAGAGAGATTTAAATAAAGTGTGAGTACTCTATGAAAGAAGTAGGAATTCTGTTTGACGATAAATTCCATTTGGCATCAGGTTACAATAACTCTTACAAATATGACTATACTATACTATAACTTTTACTATAACTATTTACTAAAACTATTTTTTTCAGCACACAGCTTTAATTATAACGTCTAGGTATTCGAGGTGGAGCTGGAATATTGATTAACATTAAATTTCGTTTAGCGATAATATCGCAATAAATACCGCAGCAGCGTTTAAGAAATTAAACTTGTATGGTGAGTTCTCCGATAAAAGTTTGAGTGTTCTATAGCGATTTGAAAAGTAGTCAGAATTTTAAGTGACAAGGTGTTCGTTTTCGTATTAATATCGTAATATTTTTTGAATAAGGTAAATCATAAATTCTGCTTTTAGTAGTCAAGTAAAGTCACAATCTATCTTCTATATTATATAAAACGCTAATACGTACGTATGTATGTATGTATGTATCAATAAAACCGATGATATTTCTTTTCTCGCGCTGGCAACAGTTTTCATTTTTAATTGATTGGATTCGGCGCGCAAGAGCACGTAGTGAGCAACCAGATAACAATAACCAGAGTGAGCATTATCAGGTTGTTCAATTCAGATTCATGCACTAAAAANATATGTATAATTAACTATGTTTTAGTTGAATTTATGAACTGTTACAATTGACCCCGTAAGTGGGGACAATTGTAACAAGTGCACGACTGTCAAAAATTGTTAATAACTAATATAATAATATTTAAAATCAGGTATTTAATTTTTTTTCTAGTAGAGGATAGTCTACTTTACTCGTCTGTCAATTAATACTAATAATATATTGGATTTTGGTTAGTTAAAAATAGTTAAGTGAAAAATGTTACAATTGACCCCATTGTCCCCTACTCTATGAAAGAGGTAGGAATTCTGTTTGACGATAAATTCCATTTGGCACCAGGTTACAATAACTTTTACTATAACTATTTTGTTTCAGCACACAGCTTTTATTATAACGTCTAGATTTTCGAGGAGGCGCTGGAATATTGATTAACATTAAATTTCGTTCAGCGATAATATCGCGATAAATACCGCGGGCAGCGTTTAAGAAATTAAACTTGTATGGTGATCTAGCACAGAACTCCGATAAAAGTTTGAGTGTTCTATAGAGATTCGAAAAGTAGTCAGAATTTTAAGTGACAAGATGTTCTTTTTCGTTTTAATAACGTGATATTTTTTGAATAAGGTAAATCATAAATTCTGCTTTTAGTAGTCAAGTAAAGTCACAATTTAATATTATTTCTTTAAATGAAACTTATAACAAAAAAGTCTAAGGGATCACAGTCATACCAGTTTCCACACAAATACTTGCTTCCAACTTAAAGTTGCTATTTTAATTACTATCTCAACTATAAATGGAGACTGAATAAGAAAAATAAAAGTTTAAAAATAGTGATTGTTTCTAAAAAAATTTTTTACTCAGAAACTATTCGATCGATTTCGTTCAAATTTTGTATTTTGTCTTTCAAAAATGTGTATACCTTGCAATACAAAAAATTTTCGACCCTTATTAAATAAAAATAATAAATAATTACTTAAATTTATTTTTAAGTAGGTTTGTTTAACTTTGCATAAATTAATTTTATTATTGTGTTATTGTGCTGCGGTTTGCTCAGAAACTTATTAATTAACATATTTGAGGCATTGATTGTTTCGTAGTTTGTGAAAATCTAAGTATTAGAACAAAAGTTACTCAAAGTGTTCTTTTTCTTCTTCTTTTTTTTCTTTGTGCTAGTAAAACAAAAATGGCACTCAAGAGAAATATAAATATTTGAATAAAAAGAAAAAATTAAATGGTAATGTCATTTTTTGTTTGTTTCGTTATTCATATATTTTCTTTATATAACGGGTTTAACTGGTTATTGTATAAAATTTTTAAAGCTAATATACATCTTAAAAATGCTTAGTATGTTGTAAGTGAAGCGTTTGTAGCCAGAAGCAATGTTATACTTAAAGTGGCCTATAACATTTCTCTGCCTGGGACCATTTCAAACTATCAAATAGTTCTATCAGTTTTATTTCTTTTTTTATTTTTTTTGTTATTTTTAGTACCGCATATGTATGCGTCATTATTTGGTTTTAAATCAGACAATGACATTTTTTAGTAAATATGTACCTTCTGTTTAATTTGCATTACCCTGTAAATACATCATATATTAATTATGATGATTTATGCTCTAAAATTTCAGTTAATCCTTTAAATGCACTTAAAAAATTATTCTCTAGTCTTAAATACACTGTAAAATATGATTTTTCACTATTATTTTTAATTTTAAGTTCTGGAAAAGCTTTTAGAGTTATGTTTCATTGAAAAACATGATGTACAAAGTTTAATAAACCTAACTACACAAAAGGTGAATGAAAAAAGAATTTCGAAATTCCATCTTTAAAAAAGAAATAAAGTTTATAAATAGAGTTCATGGAAGAAATAAAGTTGAGTAAAACTATCTCTAAAGGTCACTAAACAAATAATTTTAAACACATAACCCTCGTGTCTTGGCTTTCATAAATGAGTAATATGAAAGTAAATAGCAATATAATATTATGAGATAAGTAAAATATTTTATGACTCCCAATAATCTTTAAGGAAAGCTAAAGTGAAAATTTCTATTTTTAAAAGTGTAGTGTCTTCTTGAAATAAAAGTTCAAAAGCAATCTGATCAAAAACAATAGTAAAAAAAGCGCATTCATGGCATTATAATGAGTATATTTGCCTATAATAATAATGGCCTACATAACTTTTTAGATCGAAGCCTATTTGCTGATACAAATAGCTACTTAAAATGCTTTTAAAATAGGGTTTCGAAAAATATATGCCATTTTAAGACCATGTTATGTTTGAATCTTACTAAAGTGTATATTTGCTTTAAGTTCTCAAAGAGCTAGAAACTAGCAAAAAAGTTAACTGATATTCCTCATCACAATTTTTTTTTGTCCGGTCATTTGATTATATTTTACAGGGTGTTCTATCCTGAATGTATATTTTTAGAATCTTTTTCAAAAAAGAACTCAAAAAAGTTCATACATTGGGAGTTGCAAAATAATATTAAGAAAAAGAAACAAAATCGCTATCGAAATCTGTAAAATCCTGACTGAGGAAGGAAGAACTATAAAGATCGAAACCAGTTTGATTGTCTAATGAAACTTGAAGATGTTTCAAATAATCACCATCCAACTCCTTTGTTCCCTTCGGCAATCGAACTGCATTTAATAAATTTACTCCCGTCTTCCTCAGTTGTAATTCGGCATATTTTGATAGTATTTGCTTCAATTAAGTATAACGTGCGACCCATTGATGTGCATTTTAACTTCATTATCGACAAGGATTCTAAAAATATAAATTTAGAACAGTCATTACAAAGCACCCTGAATTATTATTACACAAACATTCGAACATTGTTTTAAATTTATTCTAACAGACCATTATTTTTTTATGAAATTTTTTTTTCTGTGAAACTTTCCACCATATGATGCCGTGGGAAATGTTCTCATAATGAAGACAACTTTTAGTACAAGTACTGTTAAATGTATGCTTTTTTTAAAAAAATTCAAGTTGAAATTTAACAATGGACAGTGATTTTAATGGATTTCTAAATTTGGATACAATTTTAAGCCCAAAATTTTACAATAGCAAAATTATTTTTGAATGTATGGGGAAAAATATATAAACATTTACCAGTCATATATGATTTTTATTTGCAGTGACAATTTTTTGAAAATATCTTCTTACTTTACCATATTTTTGTGTTGATTTTTTAATATTATTTTTAATTTTCACTAATTATTTCTAAATTTTCACAAAATAGGTTCGCTGAAAAAAAAGCCTAGACAGACCCCTACTTAGCGAGTTCTACTCCACATGAAAGTAGTAATTTAAAAACAAACAATTACAAAGAAATTCATAATGAACCTAAATAAAAACAAAAGTTCAACAACCCTGTTTGAAGTGAAAATAATCAGGAAAAGACTATTATCTTAAATTAGATACATATTAGTGAAATAATGTCATGGTTAACTTTCTAAAATACAGATTTTTAGTAGCATTTTCCTCTTAAACATGAATCACTCAAATTTTTCGCGTTATCTAGAGCGATGTAGATTGTAATTAAATAATCGATAATAACACGGTAAAATGTCATAAATTATTTGAAGTGTAGTAAACATTATTATTAAGCATTTTTGGAGAAAAACGGATATCTGGTTCTGAAGGAAATATCTATTTAATAAACAAAATGAAGGAACTACCAAATGAAATATATATTCTGCTTAGCTATTAATTTAAAATAATTATCAATTTTAATTATTAAAATTAATTTAATTCGAATATCTGAAAGTTTTTGCTATTTTTAATAACTACGCTGCGTTCAAAATCTTTTCCCCCTCCATTAATACAAATCCTAGATCTAAACTTTTAAATCCTTATAAATGAAATTTATACTNATACAGATTTTTAGTAGCATTTTCCTCTTAAACATGAATCACTCAAATTTTTCGCGTTATCTAGAGCGATGTAGATTGTAATTAAATAATCGATAATAACACGGTAAAATGTCATAAATTATTTGAAGTGTAGTAAACATTATTATTAAGCATTTTTGGAGAAAAACGGATATCTGGTTCTGAAGGAAATATCTATTTAATAAACAAAATGAAGGAACTACCAAATGAAATATATATTCTGCTTAGCTATAAATTTAAAATAATTATCAATTTTAATTATTAAAATTAATTTAATTCGAATATGTGAACGTTTTTGCCATTTTTTATAATTACGCTGCTTTCAAAATCTTTTTTTTTCCTCCATTAATACAAATCCTAGATCTAAACTTTTAAATCCTTGTAAATGAAATTTAGACTGTTAAATTAATTAGAACGTATTTCAGTTCCCTTCAAGGCGCTGCTGATGTTCTAGATGTCAAAACAGGCAGAAAAATGTGTAAAATTTTGAGAGAAAAAATCAAAAGATATTGAATTAACAGAATTTAACAGTTTGATAGGTATAGGTTTGATAGACACCTTTAAAGTTTCTTTAAAGGTTAGTTTCGTTAAAGGTTAGTCTCTTTTATGTTTTTTTATAACTATGAAGCTTGTCCTTATTCAATATATTCAATATATCAAGAAATATTATTTTTTTAGCATTGTGATAATGATATTTTATAATGAAATCTCACAATATATAGTGAATACAATATTTTGTGATAAATATGGAATCTAAGTTATTTATTTACAAATCGAGCACATAAATATGGAATACGATCACGACAACGCTCCAATGATACCGATTACGATAATTATCGAACACGATAGTTTCGACATTATTATCGACAACATTGATATCGATTACTATAATATCACGGAATGTTATCGGAAACGACAGTTATATCGAATACGATATTTTTGTGAGTGGTGATAAATTTTATTAGGGTATTTGATCATAGAAAAATAATGTTAGTTAGTTATATTGGAAAAATATTTCGATATATCATGATATGTATATCGATATATCAATGATATCGATGTATCATTTACAGACAATATATCAGGATATTAAAACTCCAATATTGCTCAACACTTATCTTAATTAGAACTACTATATCCTTCTACTAAGAGAGTTATGAGATACAGGAAACAATTTGAGAGGCAAAATTAATTGAAAAGAAACAAATAAAAAAATTTCGTGCACTAAATATTAAATGTTCGGCAAGATATTTTTATTTGGCGGAATCTTAAGATTATAGATATATAATCTTTTCCCTTAACTTTAAAATTAACCATAACTAGCTCAAGTATCTATTATAAGCAAAATTAAGGTTAAAAAACTATAAATTTTTGTATTAATTGGTTATTAAAAAGTATAATAGCAAAAGTATGGTAGCTATGCTCAACATTTTATGCAGTCACTTAAGTTTATTATAAGCCAAACGGTTGATTCTATTGGTAAAATGTTAGCTTTTAAATAGCAGAATCAGTTTATCAAAAATTTATTCAATTTTCATGTAATTTGGTGTATTTTTTGTTGATAGTGAAAAACACTTAGCTTGATATTATTATGGCAGGGGTCGAAATTACTAAGACAAGTGGCTAAAAGATTTTGTTAGTACATACACATTTTCAGACGTTCGTTTATATGTTTGTATTAGATATTTTGTTTTATTTAATGAAAACTCGAATTTGAATGAAATATTACACTCCAAACGCACTTAGATTCATGATGAAATATGTTACTTTGTGACAGTAAAACAGACCAAAAACCAAAACTAAAAATTAAAACAGCATACTATCCTTTTACATCGATTTCTAATCCGTGGGACCATTGATAATTAATTTATGGTGGTCCGAAACTAATTTTAGTGGTTCTAGACTAATGAACTACCATTATCTATAGACTAACTAACATAATCTTGAAGTGCAGTAAGATGCTTCATCTAGTAACCGACTCTTATATCTTCCTTTTCGCTTTTGGATTTTGACCTATTCGCTATAGGGGGACCGGAAAGCAATGCCGTTTCGGCGCATTAAATATTGGTTAGTCTTCAAAACCAATTCATTTTTTTTTCGATTCGTCTTCGATCCGGCATTGAGCGGTTGTTGCTATCGAGGGTGAATACATTATTGATTAAAAATAAAATCTTGATAACAAATATCTGATGCACCGAAACGGCATTACTTTCCGGTCCCCCAAATAATTTGATTCGGACTATTTTAAACTGCTAGTCGCATAAATCTCTAACTGCGTTTGATATAGAAGTTTACTCTTAGACAGATTATCAGCAATTACTTTCTCTAACATGGTTAAACAATATTATTTCACAAAAGAAAAAGACACAAACCTCGTTTAGAGCAGCCATCCTTGCTATCGAACCAATATTATTGGTTATTGTGGCCAAAGTTGTTCTGGCAAGATCTTCTTTAGTTACTTCTGCTCTCTTCTTTTTACTGCTCATTTTTCCAAAACTATACATATGAAAAATAAATAAATATTCATAATGCAAATGATATGTTTCATTATATAAAAATCAATATTTTGCAGTCCATTGTGAAGTTTGATACATTTTCATAATTACAAAAATGAAACTATGTAAACGGCATCTGTAAACTTAACATAAAGATTATTTTCAAAAATATTGAAGTTTTTATTCAACACTATTTCTCGCATTTTATAATTTTAAAAGGAAAGTAATATTCTAAAATCAATTGTTTAAAAAATTACTTCTATTGAGTAATCAGTCTCGCGTAAACTATAACTTAGAATACAAAGGAACATTATAATATAAGGGAAACCAATATACTTTCTCTTTATAATAATACATACTTTCTCATTAAAATAAGAGCTGTATACTAGCAATAACAATATGTATACTAGCTTTCTGCGGATTAATCTATATGGTTTTTAATACTTTCTATATAATTTTATTTGCAAATAGACATAAAGGATTCTGCTTGATACAATGGTGCAATCTAGAGTACTTCAACTAAATAAATGTTTCAATAGGAAAAGGTCAAATCTCCCACCTTTTTCCTAAAATATTTACTAATTGTTTTCACCATTTAAGGCACAAATAATATTTATAAACAAATGGAAAAAAAAAAAGAAAGCCTAAATGAATGCCCCAATTTCTATAGGTGCACTGTAAATGCATTCATTAAAACTGTCTATTCATGCATAGAAAATATGAGCATGTTTTGAATGTACTCTTCACAAATGTTCGATATACGCTTCTTTTGTTATATTGTATGCATCACACCCAGTGGCGTACGCAAGGGAGGGGTTTAGGGGTTTAAACACCCCCCTTGAGCTCAGACAAAATGGCAAAAATAAACATTTTAGTAGAAATTATGCGAGCTATTATTTTTTAAGACTATGTNTCTCAGGACGCTAGAATAAAACGGTTCAGACGTTATAAGAGGGACACACAAATTCTTCTTTTTTATATTACAGATAAATATACATAACTTTTGCTACCACTAGACAAAATATTTTCTGAAAATACGGTGACTCTGTAGTAGTTAGTGTCACAGCAGACATTAAAACATAAACTTAGATACCACCAGAAGAAATTCTCCCAAAAATCGTAGAAAGTTATCAGCTCTGATACCTGCGTCATCTGGCACCAAAGTTTTAATATAAAAAATGTATCGTAATGTATTACAAAAGTGAGTGGTCGGTTTTGTTCTAAGTTGTTCGTCTGAATTTTTTAAAATAGATCTGCAATCAACATTTTAATGCAAAATTATTAATAACGTTATAAATCATAATCTTCTAAGGGCCGGGAATTTTAATGACAGATCCAGGTCTCAGTCACGCTTTGGGCTACATAAATCTTTAAGACTTTTGTTACCCGAATTCTGAGGCTGTTTTGTAGTAATGAGGCCCAGTGAGAAATAAGGGTCGGAGTCCCTTAAGTCCCCTCGACAGGGTATTAGGGTTTGAGGTACCTTAAGGATTTATCCTGAAGAAACCTGAATACCAATAAATAATTGCCTATATAACTGTTGTCAAAAACTGAGAGGGGATTAGCAATCCAGTTCAATGGGAACTTTTGTCCTGTGATATACATTATAAAGCTGTTTAAGTGTCTAAATAAAAAGTCAAAATTGTCTAGCTGTCTAAATTAGGGAAATAATAGTGCTTTATAACAGAATCGAATTTCTTTTAGTAGTTTCAGAAAATTATGAACACCCCCCTTGAAAAAATTCTGCATACGTCACTGATCACACCTATGTGCTATTCTTTCTAAACTTAGTTCAGTATGTCTGTATTGATGCTGGTGGTAAAAGTTATGATACAAGCTTTCAAATCAATCATGGTTGCTGGGCCTTGAGGCGCATGCACGCGATATTTTACAAACCTGTACGGCAAAAAATCGAATGGGATTAGATCTGGGGATAGTAGTGGCCAAGAACAGAGTGTTGTGTCTGAGGTAGATCGCAACCAATCCACCGTTGTAGTAGCATGTTATTAAGAGAAATTTTTTTCTGATTTTTGCTGGTTTTGTTTTCGTAGAAACGCTGATGACAATTGGACTTCCGGCGCAGTCTATTGGCCACTATTCAAAATTTATTTATAAGTTGTACATATAATGTTATTGTATGTTGTATGTATGTTATAGGTCATACAGTACATTTATGAAATTGGGGTATTCATTTGACTTACCTTGTGCAGGTAAGTTAAATCAATATTCATATAAAAAACTTTGACATTAATACTGGTGAATCAAATGTATTAATAACGAATTTAATTTTTCTTCTAATTTCTAAAAACTTATAGATTGAAGTTTTGACTCAAGGAAATAGTTTGTTATTATATTAATTAATCTGCTTAAAAAATAAATTTTTGCTTCACCTATTTCCATTTATTAATTCACTATTACTGAGATAAATTTTAAAATTTATGGCTATAATTTTTTTTCCAAATAAAGTTTCAAACATTTCTAAAGTGCTAAAAATATTTTCTTTAAAATATTTCTTTAAATTTGTTTTATTTAGACTATTTATGGTTTCCTACAACAATATTCGTAAAGTAATTAGTACTTAAGTCTGGAAAATTCAAGCGAGCTATTTTTAGTTAATTGTCCTTTGAGTGAATATCTTATGATTACATTGTTTTCTAAAAAAAATCCTTGCCTTATTTCCTTTCAACTTAATGACACTTTAAGCATTGTGGAAATTCCTTTCCGCAATTGCTATTTCTGGTTTTTAATAATTACTTGAAATAATGTCGAAGGTTAAATTAGCTTATTACATGTCACGGAAAGTTGTAATTTGTATTTATATCACTGATATAAATTTGAAGAAAAACAATTCTGTATGATAAAATGTGTGCATGTACAAAAATAGTTTCTACAGCTTTTACAAGTCTATTATAAGCTGCAGTTCATTTTTTCAAGCTAAATTAAACAAATAAAGAAATCGAACTATTTTAATTTAGTAAGTTATTTTTTTCCTATAAACAATGACCATATATTCTTTGTTGCAAGAAAATTTATTTACCTCCCGAAATTTATAAGCTTGCTCTTCTTTGTTGGAACTGAAAGTAAAATAAATAAATCGAACTATTTTAATTTAGTAAATTATTTTTTTCCTATAAAACAATGACCATATATTCTTTGTTGCAAGAAAATTTATTTACCTCTCGAAATTTATAAGCTTGCTCTTCTTTGTTGGAATTTAAAGTAAAATAAATAAATCGAACTATTTTAATTTAGTAAGTTATTTTTTTCCTATAAACAACGATCATATATTCTTTGTTGCAAAAAAATTTATTTACCTCTCGAAATTTATAGGCTTGCTCTTCTTTGTTGGAATTGAAAGTAAAATAAATAAATCGAACAATTTTAATTTAGTAAGTTATTTTTTTCCTATAAACAATGACCATATATTCTTTGTTGCAAGAAAGTTTATTTACCTCTCGAAATTTATATGCTTGCTCTTCTTTGTTGGAATTGAAAGTAAAATAAATAAATAAATAAATCAAACAATTTTGATTTAGTAAGTTATATTTTTCCTATAAACAATAACCATATATTCTTTGTTGCAAGAAAATTTATTTACCTCTCGAAATCTATAAGCTTGCTCTTCTTTGTTGGAATTGAAAGTAAAATAAATAAAAAATAAATCGAACAATTTTAATTTAGTAAGTTATTTTTTTCCTATAAACAATGATCATATATTCTTTGTTGCAAGAAAATTTATTTACCTCTCGAAATTTATAAGCTTACTCTTCTTTGTTGGAATTGAAAGTTAGATAAATAAATCGTACTATTCTAATTTAGTAAGTTATTTTTTCCCCATAAACAATGACCATACATTCTTTGTTGCAAGAAAATTTATTTAAATCTCGAAATTTAAAAGCTTGCTCTTCTTTGTTGGAATTGAAAGTAAAATAACAAAATAAATAAATCGAACTTATTTAATTTAGTAGCTTAATGTACGTACAAAATTATCCTAGTTTCTTATTCGTTAAAATAAAGTCAAAGTAATTACCTGCTGGCAACTGTATTGCCCCTCAGATTAAATTTCATGTAATCTCCTCCATATATGTCCTTGACGAGTTTATCCACTTTTGAGCTATCTCCTTTTTCGGCCAGAGCGATCGCTTCTTCAAAAGTTTCGCAACCAGTCAATAGACTGCAAAGGCCTAAAAACGTGCCTCCACCCAAACTAAAATTTTAAGAACAAAAATAATACTGTTAGTCGGTGAAATAAAACTTTTACATTTGTGAGACAATGTGATCATTAATTTAGTGTAATAAGATATTAGTCCATAAACTAAATTATGAATCATGGTATTTGTGTGATCCATTAACATAAACCACACCAATAAGTGAAAAATAATACATATAAAAATGCATAAAAGAAAAAAATCAGTTATTAAAAATTAAATTTAACGTTGTTTTACAAAGCCTTACCCTTGAAGCAATGCGATGATTTTAAACTATATACATAATCTTGCCTTTATCTGGGCTTTAAAACAGACAAATAACTTTAATATTTTAAAAGTTATTGAACGTTTTTTTAAAAATCGCCAATTTTGTGACATTTTTCCTCCTAGATAAAAACTATCAAAATCTCTGCCTGATTCTTAGTGTTTGCACATTTTTATGAGCCCAGGTAATGCAGAATTAGAGTAAGTTTTTAAATTTTAAAAAATTTGACCACAAACGCTTTTTATTTTTACAAAGCTGTGGCCTTTCTCCGTATTGACGTTTTGCGCCATTTTCAAATTAAGCGTAAAAAGTGCTGCCTTTAGATAGGCTTAGCTTGACCTAACAGTCCTGAGTAACAGTTGCAAACTCACAGCAGTATAAAAAAAATTGCATATTATTCGCAAAAAAGCCTAATTTCATATTAAGAAGAATAATTAATTTTAATTATTGCTATTTTAAGTGAATTTTCACGAATTTTTAGTACTCATTTTGCTTTAAAAATTTGTTTTTATCCCTTACAGAAGAAATTTTTATTTATCTTTCACGAGATCTTTTTTATAAGCTTGTGCTTGAGTTGATGTCGAAAGTTTTATCGAAGTTTCAACAACAATAGTTAGTTTAAAAATAGATATTTTTAAAGAAACCATTTCTTAAGACCTCCAAAACTCTGTAGTCCTAAGTTTAGTGGATTGTCCTTGCTTATTAGGCATTTTTTTCCATTTTGACAAGGTTTACGACTATCGCGTTCCCATGTAATGTTTTTCAACTGATGCTTTTGGTGTTTATAGGAATTTAAGTTGTCGACATTATTGTCGACATTTTACAACAGCTGCAGGTGCACTGCGTCTCAAACAGTGATACTAAATAACAATTGATATCAACACGTAGTTCAAAGGACACCCTGCGGACGTTAGTGCTACTGTAAAGTAATCAACAGTTCTTTATTTCGCTTTCACCATCATTTAAGAAAAAGAAAAGTTCTGTAAGTCAGGAATCATAAAACTCAGTGAAAGAAAGAAGTCGGAAGCTCTCGAAAGATCGCCAATGTCAAGCTGTCGAACGGAATTGGCCCCAGTTATTGTTATCTCCGTCACATTGTCAGATACATTTAGTTGATAACAAAAGTAAATGTTGCCAGATAAAAAATTATAATAATAACCAAAATCAAGAGGCATAAAAAAAACGTTTCTAATTGGAATCGCTATAAGGATATTATTTATAGTTAACAAATCGTTATAAGGATATTATCTCTCTTGATTTAGAGTTACTTCTAATTTAATAATGAGAAGTAATTATAAATCATAAGAACTCATGAGGATGTTATTTATAGTTATACTATCAATAATATCCTTATGAGTTCTTATGATTCATAATATCCTTATGAGTTCTTATGATTCATAATATCCTTATGAGTTCTTATGATTCATAATATCCTTATGAGTTCTTATGATTCATAATATCCTTATGAGTTCTTATGATTCATAATATCCTTATGAGTTCTTATGATTCATAATATCCTTATGAGTTCTTATGATTCATAATATCCTTATGAGTTCTTATGATTCATAATATCCTTATGAGTTCTTATGATTCATAATATCCTTATGAGTTCTTATGATTCATAATATCCTTATGAGTTCTTATGATTCATAATATCCTTATGAGTTCTTATGATTCATAATATCCTTATGAGTTCTTATGATTCATAATATCCTTATGAGTTCTTATGATTCATAATATCCTTATGAGTTCTTATGATTCATAATATCCTTATGAGTTCTTATGATTCATAATATCCTTATGAGTTCTTATGATTCATAATATCCTTATGAGTTCTTATGATTCATAATATCCTTATGAGTTCTTATGATTCATAATATCCTTATGAGTTCTTATGATTCATAATATCCTTATGAGTTCTCATTTATTTTTTTATTGTATCACACATTCTGTATTCCTCAGTTGATTATTTCTCAAATCTCGGGGTAACTTTTTCTTAAGTTACCCCGAGTCTATAAGTTTAATCTATTAACAATGTATTTTTACATTATATTATAATATTGTATATTTTAATAACAAAATTATCCCTTTTTTTAAAAAAGAATATCAACTTTTAAGAAAAAAACAACGATGAATGAAAAGCTATCACGTAGATTAGCTGGTGTTTCCTAGATTGAATAAAATCATTTTACCAAACATACTAATTTATACAATACCTGGTTCCCGTAACTCTTTTGTACTCGTTTGCAGAATAGACTGCAAGAATGCTCACCCCAGAGCCAATATTGACCACAAGGAATGGATAAGGTTTGCTGAAGTCGAATGGAACTTTCTTACATTTCTCGTCATCAACGGGATTGCTGTAGTAGTAACATTCTCTGGCGTTGTGTTTTTCAACAAATTGGACTCCTCTTATCAAGGCATCCATCTCATCAAACTTATGGATCGTCAGGGACACTTCCTATTAAATAAATATCTTGGAATATTAGCTATAACACGAAAAAAAATGGTTACTCAAAATTAAATATAACTGTGCCGTTATATTTTAGAATGAATTTAAAAATATTGCAAAGGTTAATCAATTTAGATGACGTTTATTACACTGTAATTTAGAAAGATATCAGAATGCAGCAACGATTAGAATCGTAAAAAAAGCCATTAAATAAATAAACGCTTTTTAAGTTCCAAATGGAATAAATTATTCCACTATCAACAACGTCTGAATTCTGAACTAAATGACTGATGGACATTTTCCAGTTGAACTGTTAATGTTTAAGAAATAATCAACAAAAAAATAGTATGTCTTAAAAAATAAGTTTGGAAAGTTTTAATTAAAAACAAGTTTTTTTACGTCAAATGAAAAATATATAGGCAATTGTTTAAAAACCAAATATTAAGGGGTGTCCGAATTAAAAGTGATAGTATCAAATATACACAAGAGATTGTAGAACCACAATTCATAGAGGAAGGTAAGAGTATACCACAAATCGTATAATTTGTTTAGCATTAAAAGAGAGCATTTAAAGTGAATGCAAAGTCGTGCTGGAGGTTAATTTGTCCAAAACAGCGCTTTTGAGTACAATTTCTAGTGGCAGAAGATGACTGCACTGTTCATTTTTCCTCACAGAATGCTGGACAGATGTCATAAATCTAAAATCATCGATTATTTACATAAAAACAATCATGGATCATAGTGTTAGCTTATTCCAGTGTCGGAAGATCCGGTATTGATGTTCTTCCTTCACGAAAACCTTTACACAATAAATTTACAGCCGATTTGCCTCAGACTTTGTTCGCCATTAACAGCCATAATTCGATGATAAATTACACCTTACCCTTATCTTTTGTCATTAAAAGTTTAAATTCCAATCTTTATGCTGATATGAAAACATCCATGTTTAGCACGACTTTACATTCACTTTATATTGTCGCATACGAGTTATTAATTCAGTTATATCCAACTCAGTAAACTCTTCCTAACTTTCTTTATAACCCTGAATGGTGGCGCCCTTATCGCTCCTGTATTTTTAACGCTATGACAAATGTCTACATTTTGTGGGAAACCTTTTTATATTTATCTAAAATATTCAATAATTTAAACCCTAAACAACCGCAAGTGAAATTTATCTGCTCATTTAATTAAAAAAAAGCAAGATATTGAGCAAAAGGATATACATGAGATACTCAGTTATCTCATGTATATCTTTCAAATTTTTTTGAACTATACAGTTTTCCAAGTACTGCGTTTACGCATGACATGATTAAGGAAAATAATTTTGTATCACATTTCGAAATGAAACTCGAGAATGAATTTTATTACAGTTAATAACTAGTACTGATTGTCAAGTACTAGTAATATTTGTAATAGTAATTAACTCTAATAATATTTGTTAACTCTAGTAATGATCAATTAACTCTACTAATGCCTAATAACAATCCTAGTTAACTATTCTGACAATCATATTCATTGAATTGAAACACTTATGGTTATAGAAAGCAATCCAATTACAATGAAAGGGAAATAAACAAAATGTATTCTTAAGTTAATCACCATAAAGAGCAAAAAAAAATAGAGTTCATAAAATATTATTTATATACCTTACATTTTGGTTGCACTTCCACATATTAATTACAATAATAAAAAAACAGTTTGGCAATTAACTGAATCCATATAAAAATTTGCATAATATAATTGCATGCCTAGAAAAATTTATTTANTTATGTCTCTGCACACTCAAGCTCAAAACATTGAATGAACAAGAATTTCTACTTCTCGGACTAACGATATCGGACAGGTGAAAAAACAATTGCTTAAACGATCCGGCAACGACATTGTCGTTCACACATTTGTCGTCCGATTTTGTCGGTATCGTGTCGTGTAATGAAAAAGCGCCCTTAGTCTGACGGCAAGGGGACTCTAACCCATGATCCATCTACGATTGAGGATACCCTTCGTCAGCGCTGTGGTCGGTGCAAGCCGGGTGCAGAATTCGTGTCGACCAGCTATCGCTAGGATTCGAACTTGGTTCACCTCATTTAGAGTAGAGAGCTCCATCCTCTGAGCCACCACGGCTCCATTAAGTGAAGTTAAAAACGTTAAGTTAGTTGGAAAATGGAAATTTTTCGTTTATTGGTTCCTTAATCATAATACCTGATACAATCTTCAAAATACTTCTTTACTTAAATTCCGTCTGTACCAAGAGAATTGACGAATATAGATTTTGATTAGAATTCAATATCATAACGCCAATAAAAATTGTTGTTATCACCTAGTTTTATTTTATTATTCACAAATTTTTATTCAAATACAAATATTTCACATTTAATTTCATTATGTGCTATTTCATGAAATTTTTATTATTCTCTATAATAAAATAATCCACTAAAATAAAGTTATTTTCACGAATTTTTATTTTTTGCATCCTCTGCCTCATAAATTAATTATTAATAAGCAAAAAGATAAGGAACCCTAATAGATAAGGAACCAAAGATAAGGAAACAAAAAGATTAGTAAACATTGCCTAAAAAAGGCAATGTTAATATATTTATTAGATATTAGTTGCATAAGTATAAAAATAGGAAAATTTGTAAAGTTATAGTCATATATTTAAATCTTGATTTTAGGAGAAGTCTTCGATTAATTCCGCTCAAATTTTAGATTTTATAATTTAAATTTACTACTTTAAAATGACGTCAAAATTTCTATACCTTTTTTTCGATTATTGCAAAATAAAATAAGAAAAAAAAACTATTAAAAATTATTTTTTACATATTTGGAGTAACAATTTTATAATTGTGTGCAAAATTTTTTTTGATTCGCTTAAAAGCTACCCTACATAAAGCGAAATACACAAACAGTGAAATTAACATTAAGAATACCAAGCTTTTGGATGTTTTTCTGACTAAACTATTAGGACCCTATTTTGCAGGTTGCGGCTACCCCCTTCCCATGCTTTAACAGTCAAACATCCAAATCTTTCGGGAAAAATATATGTTTATTCAGAGAAAGTACGTTTTTGTACACGTTTCCGTAATTAGCATTATTACGTAGTTAGCATAATTAGCATTATTACGTAGTTAGCATAATTAGCATTATTGTAAACATTAATTAGTATATTCTAGGTTACACCTTTGAGCCATTAGGATTGTTACTTAGTTAGTTGGTGAAAATCCGATCCTTAGAAAAGTTATTTTAGGTAATATCTTTTTTCATCGCAGTGCACATTTATAAATTATCAAGAGTGCTACATTCGCGCAATACTGCAAGATTAAAAAAATCATCTAAATTTGTTTCGTGATTTGTTCAGTGCACATCTGACTTTTAAAATAAATAGAATAAAAAACCTTGTAGTTAAACCTGCAAATTGATGTCTCTAATCCCTGTATTGCAGTAAGCAGATCTGCCTTTCACAAATTCTCGTAGAGTTTGTTGACTATCACAATCGTCTTTATTGTCGGTGGGTTCAAAGTAAACTAATTTAACTAATGATCCACCAATGTCGATTCCAAACCATGGCATAGCTGAAAACGTATTTTTATATAGATAACACTTTTTATTTATAAACATACTATGATAGATATAAAAATATATTAATTATAATAAACATAGATTATACCTAAAGTATCATACATATTATTTGCATCAACATTATAAACTGAAAATCATATAACGGCACAATAAGTGAAGCTTAAATAATTTTATTTTATAGCCGTCGTTGAACAGCCGACGCAATTTTTGGGTTTACGACTACTAATGTTCAACTACGTAGCCTTGTAATTTTGAACCCAATCCAGAAGACAAGAGAACTCCTGTATCATGTATTTCGCCTTTTTTGTTGGCTCTACTTAGCAAAGAATTTTCTTCATGTACATATATGATCACCAAAGACAGGGACAACTATTTTACACCAAAGTGTTGTTCCACTACCAAGATATTCCTGGTGCTGAGAAATACCTATAATGTCATTTAATTTTTTATGTTTAAAGGAATAAGGGAAAGTGTTATACCTTGGACCATTATATAGTTAACATTCTATAAAGTTAAGTTCGTTATAAGTAAAAGTTTTTTATAGTTAAGTTTTTTTTCACACTACTCCAATAAAAATTATTGAATAAAGATAGGATTTGATGAGTATATGTTGCTTCAAAATTAAATTATATCGTGCATTTATGTAGAAACATAAAATGTTCTAATCAGTTTCAAAACCTATGTTTTAGATTTTAGGTGTATTATATATAAAAAAAGAGTTTCTGTCATATTATTATTTACTCTTGATTATTTCATTATGTCATACAATAAATTTTCCTATCAACAGAGAAAAAGTTTAAAAAAATCTACATAAATAACGCATTTCGGATTTCATCTTTCAGTTTAAAAGGAGTAATGGAGCATATCATTTATATTAATATGTAACGTATTAAACATTGAGATAAATTTAAGGATTAAGGAAAATGAGACGTTAACCCTTTCACTACCATTTTTTTTTCTGAGAAAAAAATGAACTAAGTAATTAAATATATCAGTTACAATGCAAATATCGATCAAATTCTGAAAAAGGGAAACAATTACTGAAATGTCAGTGATATGAAGGAATACCAGTGGGACATGCATTCATAATAATACAAAGCATATTTAGCCCATAGGGTTATTTGAAACTGTCTGCGGGACATATATGTTCCGGTGGTAGCGAAAGGGTTAAAGTATGATGATGAGACGTTACGAAATGATGAGACGTTAAAGTATTTAAAATAAATCGCAATTTATTTTGCAAAATACACTTTGGTCTTCATTAACAACATCCTTAAAGCATAATCCTTTAAGAATATCATTAAATTAAAGTTAATTAAATAAGCAAACGATTACAAATAGCTTCCAAAATACAAGTTGAAATAATAAAAGAAAACGATAAACTTATCAACCTAACTAGTAGTTAAGCTTTTTGCCATAAGGTGACGCTGAAACCGTTTGGGCAGAGCAGCCATTTTGCCGAGCGTTAAGAAGAAAAAAAGCGTGTCGCCATTTTTTATACTCTAACAATATATATATGAAGAGTAAAATAACTATAATAAGTGATATAACGATTATATATGAAGAGTGAAAACTCTTCATACATTTCTCTGTGAGTCAAACTTAATTAAAAAGAAAAAAAAATTGCTCTAATCCGCCTTCAACGAGAAAATTGCTTGAATGTCGTAAAAGTAAACCTTGACTATCATGCGTGGACACGATTAATAGCATCATTTTTGATGCCGAATTAGCTAATATTTTAAATCAGCTAGAATTAATTTAAATTTTCTTTTACTGAATTGAAATTCAAAAAACAAGTTTCGCTTAATCTAATAATGTAAAGTCCCTGGGAAGGACAACAAATAACAATAAATTATTTTAAATTGTTACTGTAAAAGCCTTTTAGTTTTGCACACGATTGCGTAGAATTTATGAATACATATTCATTGATTATTTACAATTACTTTTTATCCCACAAGTATTGCGAGTATTGATAAAGAAATTAAAATTAATGAGATTTTATTATCTTTCAAAAAAAAAATAAGTAAATAAAAAAAAATCTGTTACGTCAAAAAGTCTTCCTGCAGATAAAGAAAAATGAGGAGGTATAAGAGTATAATTGTAGCGTTGAAAAAGTAGTGGAAATTCCCATTATTTCCAGAACTAATGGAGGAAACGAAAAATACACTTTATATTTTGATGTAAAATGCGTTGATAACTTTTTTGACCTTGATTCTTAGTAAATCACTAAACAAATAGTGAAAAAAATAAAGCAAATAAATCTTTTATTTCCAAATTTTATTTTAATACGCTAGAACCCTTTGTATTTTGTTTTCCTGCAATTTATTTTATTACTTTCCGTCAGAGTTGTATGGAAAAACTGTAAATGACGCAATTGAGAAATAGAAAATTATTAACACAATGCCTCAAAAATTGCTGTTAAGACAGTTTGATACGTGATTAAAAGTACAATAGATAAAATATTCAAAATTTAGACCTACTTCCTGCTTACTAATACACATCCGGGAAAATCCATAAACCGTTAAATCAAAATATGGTGCAAATTTGCTCCAACCTTAATAAGGTGTTGATTTGAACCACATTTCCATTCACGGAAAAAAAATTACGGATCAAATTACGGTAAAAAGTACCAGTACTCAAGTTGCAGGTACTTTTTACTGTAAAATCTATTTTCACCGGAACATGTTACAGAACAGAAAGTTTGATGTATCGTATTTTTACAGTAAAAATGTATTTCCCTGTTTATTAAATTTACGATTTTTTATAGTTTTCAAATTGAACCATAAGATCGTATAATCAAGTTCAAGATTGATTAGTGACTTATTATCGAAGAAAACATGGGTATACATCATCGAAAAAGTATGAAAAAAATTATAAATATAACCGATATTATCGAAATTAAGTATCGATACTATCGAAACAAAATGTAGATACATTTTGATACCTTATAGTATCGTTACTGAATATTGATTAATGCTTTCAGTCCATTGTAATCGATAGTAGTACATTAATATCAAGAGTAATGTGTCAAGCACCGTTTGCCAATTGCATTAATTGTAATTAGAAAAAGCAATATTTTAAACAGCTGAATATTATATAGATTTAAATACAGTGAACAAAAGTGTTGATGTAATCGAACGTAGGTAGCGATACTATTTCAATGTTTTTATGTATGATTTATGATTCAACTTGGCAACATACTAAAGTTGCAGCAAATTTGAACAGTATTATGGTTCGATGCGTCCCAATGTTTCCATAATTGATAATAACAAATAATTAATAATATCAAATTAATGTGTTCCATAGTTAATAATAGCCAAATCAGTACTTTGATAACTATTTGTATCCAAATTAGTATATTCTATAATTATGAATAACCAAATTAGCAATTCCATAATTAATAATCTGTATATTCCATAAAAAACCAAATCTGTATATTCCATAATTATTAATAAACAAGTTAGTCTTTTCTTAAATTAAGAATATTAAATTAGTATATTCCGAAATTAAGAATATTCCCAAATAACAGTTGGGTTGAAAAGTTCGTAGGCTAACATAGAAAAAACAATTTTTTTCATAAAATTCCATTTTATTACTCAATATAGCTTCCTTCAAGGGCGATACAACGATTATAGCAGTCATATAATTTTTCGATACCATTTTTATAGTACGATTAGTCTTTAGCCTCAAAATAGGCCTTTGTTTCGGTGATTACTTCTTCATCGGCTCCAAATTTCCTTCCAGCAAGCATTCTCTTGAGGTCTGAGAACAGGAAAAAGTCGCTGGGGACCAGATCTGGAGAATACGGTGGATGCGGAAGCAATTCGAAGACCAATTCATATAATTTTGCCATCGCTTTCATTGACTTGTGACACGGTGCATTGTCTTGATGAAACAGCACTTTCTTCTTCTTCGAATGGGGCCGTTTTTCTGCGATTTCGTAGTTCAAACGCTCCAATAACACTATGTAGTAGTCGCTGTTGATGGTTTTTCCCTTCTCAAGATAGTCAATGAATATTATACCATGAGCATTTCAAAATACTGACGCCATTACTTTGCCAGCTGACTGTTGCGCCTTTCCACGCTTCGGAGTTGGTTCATCTCGTGCAGTTCACTCGGCTGACGGTTGGTTGGACTCCGGTGTGAAATTATGGAGCCATGTTTCACCCATTGTCCCATATTGACGCATAAATTCGGGTTTATTATGATTAAACAGCTTCAAACACAGCTCAGAATCATCAAGTCGTTGTTGTTTTTGTCCAATTGGGATCTCGTGCGGCACCCACTTTGCCTAGAGATTCCGCATACCCAAATATTCATTCACGATATGTTCAACACGTTCCTTTGATATCTCTAGAGTCTCAGATATTTTGATTATTTTTTTGATGTTTACGCCGGTAACAGCCTCTTTGGGGCGACTACTGTGTGCATCGTCGTCGGTGCTCATTTCGCCTCATTTAAACTTAGCAAACCACTTCTCAATGGTTGATTTTCCTAGTACAGAGTCCGAATAATGTTTCCCAAGCCAAGCCTTGGCTTCAAGAGTTTTCTTTTTCGCTAAAAAGCAATGCTTTAAAAATACACGAAATTCTTTTTTATCCATTGTTTTTAAACTAACAAAAGTTGCTTCATTAAAAATACTATATCTCCCAAACTAATAGTCGGGTAGCTGTCAAATTTATATACGTGTCTTTCAAGGATTAGAACTAACTAAAAATCATATGTACTTAATAATAGTATGTGTCAGCTTACGGACTTTTCAGCCCAACTGTTAAGTAATAAACACATTACTATATTCCACAATTAATAATAACCAAATTAGTATATTCTATAGTTAAGAATAACCAAAACCAGTATATTCCATAAATAAAAATAAACAAATAAGTTTATTACATAACTAAAAAACACCAAATCAGTATAGTCCATAGTTATTAATAACCAAACTAGTAAGTTCCATAATTAAGAATAACAAAATTAGTACATTCCATAATTAAAAATAACCTAATCATTACAGTCCATAGTTATTAATAACCAAACTAGTAAGTTCCATAATTAAGAATAACAAAATTAGTACATTCCATAATTAAAAATAACCGAATCATTACAATCCATAGTTATTAATAACCAAACTAGTAAGTTCCATAATTATGAACAACCAAATTAGTACATCCCATAATTAAAAATAACTAAATTAGCTTACATATTCATTTGATCAAGTAACAAAATTTCAATAAATAATACAATAAAATTTGAGTAATTAGAGAAACTTACGGGTGGAGTCTGTCACTATTGTAGAAACTTCGGTGACCGGACTCATTCGGACTCCACCATTCCGTAAACGGAAAAAAGCTTTTATTCCATCTTGAGTCCCTGGAGCGGCCCTAAAAACAAATAAACATCACAATATATAAGAATAAGTCTATATAAGTACTGAAATTATTTACTTAAACTATGTAATTGCTTAATATCAACGTAAATGCTGAATGTTTTATTATGTAAATGCTTATTTCCTTACTTACTACATAAATGCTGAATGTTTGTTAAAAGTTCTATTTAACGAAATATTGAAACATTATTTTACGTTTTTTAATTTCATAAAATGCATAATTGCATCTTTGAAATAAAAGTAAAAAATACCAAACAAAGTAAAACTCTGATTATTTAAACTAGTACTGACCGGCACTAACACAGAGTTATAAAATTGTGATAGTAACGTCCTAATAAAGTAAAAGTACAATAGTGATATGCACAAAAGCTTATCATAAAAAAAAAATGTGGCTTTTTTATGGTGCCGTTTCACAATCAACAAAATTTGAGATACATAAAAAGTAAATAGCATACGTTACAAAGTTGAATAGTCTCGGTTCTACGATAATATATTTTAAAATAAAAGTTCCATTTTTTTAATATTAAAGAAGAAATTAAAAATAAGGTTGAACCTTAATTATCTTATCCAAACCTAATATTAACTGGCAACAATACAGATGTATAAAATCAAGATAAAAACTTCCTTCAGTAAAAAAAGTACATAAAAATATATTAACAAAACAGTAGTTTTGCATTATAACATTTTTAAATATATTAAAATTTAAGATGTATAAAAATGAGCAAAATTATTGATAAAATTAAGTAATCCAGGTTATACTACAATGCTAAAAAAAAAAGAATAAATCTAAAGTTATTTACATCGTTTCTACAACTTCTTCTTTTCCATTTTCCTGAAGTACGCAGTAAATGAAGAATATTGCTGAAAATTTTGCTGAATATTGCTGAAGTCTTTTTATAAAACAAAACGATTTATAATTTCATCATTCCTTCTGATGAGACGATATAATTAAAGAACATTTTACCTTACTTTTGAAAGTTCTATAGGTGGTGCAAGGTACGGTAGGAAATAAATTGTTTTCCTTTAAAACTTACATTAAATTCGATAAGCAAAGTGATTTATTTTTACTCGTCATTTTGTTTCTGCGCTTTGTTTTTAATCGAAATTTACTGAGTCAACAACTGAAGAAAAATAAAAAAATTGCATTCCATAATTCTTTTTTAAGAAACACGATTTTTTTCTTTAACCGATATATTTCACTATTATACGATATAATTTTGATATAATATACGATTAGAAAATCTTAGTCTAGGGAATACCGAGCAAATGTATGCCAAAAAATGGCTCTTCAGCATGAAAAAAAAATAATAACTTTAGTGTAGATAATAACGAGTAAGAGTATACTAGACAATGGCCCTTTACCTTAACCTTAAAAAAAACATCAGTGTAAGGCATGGCTTCTCGAACCGTAATCTGCGGACCCCCAGGAGGACAGAGGTCACTTTTAAGGAAAAAATTAATGTTTTAAAAATAATGATGGGTTCTTGATATTGTGATAGTTTGGAACAAGGGGGAGCATGGGGGTAACCAGAAGATTGGGGCCCAAACTTTACAGAAAGTAAAAATATCAGTAAATAAAATTAACAAATTAAATATTTTTTCATCAAATTTTTTTTTCATGATAATAATTGTGATTTTTATGCTCACTAGCATCATTAAAACACATGGATACTACAGTTTAAAAATTAAATTTGACACATAAACTATAACATAGAAGTTTTTCTGAACTTAGGTATGTGTTCAAGAACGGCACTATATTAAACTGAATCAATTAAAATGAAAATAATTTTAATATTATAAGTAGTTAAAACTAAAGTGATTGGGGCGAAATATTCTAGGTAAATGAGACAAGCCGACGAATTTAAGCACGAATTATTGCAAGGAAAGAATTTCATAACATTACATTTTTCTTGTTTTTTAATCTACGTTGCTATAAAAACTAAGTGCGGCGGAGAAGCTGTTTAGATAACGAACCTGACATCCGTCTTATCAAACATTAATCCTAATGTTTCAAAATTGTGACAGCTAAAACTACTTCACTGACCTTGCCATTAATTCAGATGACTCGATTTTTCAAATTATTATATTTGAATTTTGTCTGCTTTGATACCTATTGAGTTTCGGCTTTTTAAATTTTATTTTTGCATCTCAAATTTCATAAATAAAGATAAGTAAGTCAAGCACTTACCTAATGTAAATTTTACTTGTGACACCTGTCATGCGAAAATGTGCATAACATATTTCCCATTATTTAAAAATTAAATTTCATAAAACTAAAATGATTAAAAACTAACATTTATGTAATATTTTTTCTCAATAAATAAGAATCATGTTTACAATCGGTAATCTTCTTAATCAACAACCTTGACTTGACTGCAGAATTATTTTGTTTTTAAAGATTTCCTTGATATCTATCTAATATTTTCACTTATAACCATCGTCGAATAGCTGACCCAATTTTTATGGTTTACGACTATCAATGTTCAATTCGCTTGTTTTGTAATTTTGTTCCAGAAGACAAGAGAACTCCTATATCAAATATTGGGAGAAATTTTTGCTTTCGAGGAGAACTAGTTGATGGAACTAACCCACATCTGCGTCACATGGAGAGAAAAACCACGAAAACCTCCCACTGTTAGCCGGATGGCAAGGGAACTCTAACCCGTGATCCATCTGCCACGTAGGGTATTTGTAGCTAAGGGTAGGATAGTTAAATTTTTTTCATTTAATTTAATTTTTATGTGTTAAAAAAGAGTAAAAAAAAAAGTTGGAGATCTACATTATTTGGCGACTTTTTGCCTGCGCCCGGCCAACCGCACTTAAAATCTAATCACTCTGCTTGAATACCATATCAACTTCATTCACAAAATTATTTTTGAAATTCCTTTTTAATTTTTGGTAACTATAAAAACTCACCAAATAGCAATATTAGTGTAACTTTAAAATTTTGAGTAGCTATTTTTTTTGCGTTACTTTAATTTTATACTTTAACTTATGCAGACTTCCTAGTAAATTAAAAAATATTAATTGGATATTTTTGTTTTACACTAAATTTACTTAAAAATAAATACAGCTGATTGAAAAGGAAATATGGCCATTTACCGTTTAATACATGTAAAACTAAAAATCTTCATCATAAAATGTAGCAGCATTGTGAGGTAATACTAGATTACCACTTTTCAGTACACAATAAATTATATAAATAAAAATAATAACATAAAAAAACACTTTTATTATTAAGCCTTAATGTTTCAAATATCTCCGTAATAAAAATAGAACAGAATAAAAAAAAATACCGTCAAATAACAGGAAATAAATGATTTACAGGTAAATAACTAACCGCATGTACAGGTAATTATGCTGATGTCAACTTAGTGAATCTGGAATTTTATGAGGGAAAACAGTAGTTTCGCAATTTTGAGTTGTACTCCTAAAAAATATTTTTAAGCAGTCTCAAACAGTCTTTTCATTGTTTGTTTACTTTATGGATTACATTTCCATTTTATTTTTCCCTATATTTTTAAATTCAAATTGTTAATTGTTATTTCGTGCAAGGAGTGACTAAGGCCTTTAAATTTTTCCCCCCACGAAATTGGTTTTTTCTACCTGAGGGCAAAACAAGGTGCATAGGGGTTCAAAGTAGCACTTTAATAAAATTTAATTATTAAAAAAATATATATATATTATTTTCGATTTCATAAAAATGCTTAAAACAGCTATTGATTCTGTGACTTGATTTTTATATTTTTTTAAAAATTTTGAACATTTTTTAACTATTTGAATATATTTTGTTTAATCATTAAATATTTATTTTTTAAATGACCTAGTAAAATTCCAGGTTTATAAGATTTCATAACATTCAAATTATAGGATTATAGCAAGGCTCGAAAAAACTCAGAAATTTTACCCGTCCCCGAGGACGGCTTGTCCAACAATGTACCCGTCCTCCCTTGAAACTAACCCGTAACTTCTAAATAAAAAAAAATATAATTTACACTTATTTACTACAAACATTTATATAAATTGCACAATGAATTAGTAGTTACTAGGATTACAAATACTAGGATTACATTATACAGCAATAAAAGAAATACTAGGTTACTAGTATGTCTTTTATGAAATAATTTAAATGACAAAGGTCAAGTTATCTGGAATGTCAATTTATCCAAGAGTACTTCGATTTTTAAATGAATCAAATATGACGTTTGCCAGTTCCAAGCCAATGATTTACAGAGGTTTATGCACAGAAATCTGAAAGGGGTTTTCCATTTAGGTAGATGTTCATAATTGTGTTTAACGCTTCCTGTTTAAGACCAGTACGTAATGTGTTTTTTTGAAAGTTCAATGCTGAAAAGCCCCTTTCAACCGCTGCAGTACTCCCAGACAGAGAAAGCATCAATTCCACCATGCGCAGTATGTTGCTTCTAGATTAGAGGGTCATTTTGAAGTGAGTCACTAGACTCTTGTAATATAACGAGAATTGAAAATTTATCACGAACATTAAAGGGAAAATGGCCGTCCGCACGGACGTCGGATTCGAGAAATTCGTTGTCCGCGGGGAATTTTTGACCGCCGAGGACGGGCGGTTTTTCGAGCCCTGGATTATAGTTAGTCCATAATATTCTTATCAATAAAATACGTAACTGGAACTAAGTTTTTTCCATGGAGCCTCGATTCCAACGTCACGTTGCGGACCTTAAAGTCTATCCACCCTGTCCTAAGTGCAATGTGAGCCAGTCTGCTCCTGCCCACATGCTATCGTATATTGGCTGCCAGAAGAGCCACCTGGTCTCCAACCCTGCTGCAATAGTACATGGCTTTAAGAGCTTTTTGGAACAGTTCATGGACTTGATTTAATGCTTCTGTTGGTCAAGTGGGCATAAGCAACAACAACAAGTTTTTGATTTTTTTTGTAAGAAAAACGATTAAAAAGTTTTCGCTAAAAAACAGCCGAAACGGTGTTAGACATCACTTTGTTGTAGTAACATAAATTAGAAAGATAAATACAATGTCCAGTTTGGTTTTTTACTTTTACTCAATATTTAAATTTCCTGAAATAAAAACGTTAAAAATTTTTTCATGGTTATCTAATAAATGTTTTCAGCGGTATATTTCTTCCAGCGTTTTGTTCAATTTACACCAAATTAGCGCACTCAAATTAGATCTGAAAAGTTGTGCTTCGAAATAATTCCCAGAAATCTGCACTTGATCTGGAAATCTTAACTTTGGAACGCCACACAAGAATAATATGAATTTACAACAATTTCTGAAGTGCGCTAAACTTTTAAGAGCCGAAAAACTGATAAATTTTCGCTACATTTAGCGAAAAATATTAATTACGAAATTTAAAACTAATCTAAATTTGCTCTCAGGGAGCAAATAATTCAAATATGCTGTTCATTTTAACGCATAGATACAGGCAAATAACCAAAAGGGGAAAAAATAAGACCTAACGATCATTTTCCCAATTTTTTTTCGGCTACGGATTCCTAAATGATAGAGTTTCGTCTGGCAAGACCCAAAAAAAAAAAAAANTAACACTAAAAAAAAAAAAAAAGAAAAGACTGCTGATTGTTTGATTATTTTGAAAATATTTAAAGGAAAATGTGATAAAAATTACAAAAAATTATTAAATTCATATTTGCTGAAAATAAATAAAATAAATTGAATTATGGTTTTTCAAAAAAGAACTGCTGTATAAACCTTGGGAAGCAGAAAAACTTAATTCATTATTCGTGAATTTTATTATTCTATTTTGAATTTAAAAAAATAATTGAAGACTTGTGTAATTTTTTATGAATGCATATCCATTTCATAATTTATTCAATACGTTACTAAATAAAATAGAATTTTAAATTTTGATTTTTTTTCACTGATATTTCACATAATTAATTTCATATAAACAAGGAAATGTTAAATTAGCTATGGATTATTCATTGGACACAAATATAACAATAAATGAATTAAAAAATCCTCATTCTCGGAACCCTAGGGCTCTGAGGGTCACCTTATGGGAATCGCTGCTTTAAGACATGTCTTTAGCACACTACTTTAAGACTACATCTCTTTAACACACTACTTTAAGACTACATCACTTTAACACACTACTTTGTTACTACTTTGAGAGTATCATGAAGCACATTATTTGTTTCATATACAATTGACGTAAAGAAAAAGGAAGATAATTTCTTATTATTCCTACACGCCTTCAGAGGCTGCTACAGTACTTCCGCCTTATTCAGGCGAGGCAAAATGAAATTTGTCAACACTTTTCAGAAGGTCACCAGCGTTCCAAGGGATGTTTTAGTTTCTAATGACCCAATGATCAAGTTTCTGGTGCATCCAAATTTAGAGTCCCTCGATATATATGGGAAACAACACAATTTCTCTAAACCTAAATCGTTTGCATCTCTTTCAAAAGGCACTCGCGTGAAGATTTGAACATTAATTGGGAAACTGAGACTTTTAATTCCATTTACCTTGGGTTGACAGTGAGAGGTTTTTCAAGTACGTGAAATGCGAATATCACTTACTTAGTTCCCTAAAAAAATAGTTTGATCTTTTGAATCAGGAGCTTAGTTGTTTTTTGAATCAGTATTAAAACTATTTAGTTTCATTCAGGCGTATGGTGTTGTTATAATTGAGAATAGTGCACGGAGAAAAAAAGAATTCTGGTAAAATTATCGTATTGTATGGTAATGACATTTCTGGTAAAAAGAACCTCATTTCTGGTTAAAAAAACCAATATATATGGTACTTAAACCAATCATTTGGTAACTTTTCCGTATATGGTAGCTATTAACCGAAAATTCTGGTTTTTAAAATTATAGTTCTGGCAATTATATCACACATTTAGTAAAAAATATAAAACTGTAAAGTAGATTTCACCGAATAAATGGCTTTTATGCCACGCTCTAAGATATCACGCTAAAATTACCAAATTTTGTCACATTTATCAAATATTTCACAGATTATAAAACTATATTTTATTCTTAATTTTACCAAAATCATTACCAAAGCGATTCTATAAAAATTACGGTGTTCCCATAGAGCCAGGAACATGGTAAATTTGACTATATTGTGGTGTTTTGACCATATGATTTTTTCTAAGCGCAAGCTAGGAATGAATTAATTGCATAAAAATGCATAAATTTTTTAATATATTATAATACGCAGCAGTACATTACGTATCATTCGCAGTATAAATGCAGCATTTTAAAATTTTTAATCATTGAATTTTGTTTATATTGAATAAATATTTATAGGGTATCCACAGAATACAATTTGATTGTTAAATATTTGACTCACTTAAAAAATAAATCAATATCTTAAACATCATTTTCAAGTTTTTCAAAAAGTGCATCATTTTAGCTGCTTACCTGTAGAATATGATTTCATCAATCATAGATTCATACATGGAATGTGGGGTGATATCAAGCATGATGCCAAATGGTAAGGAAGACAAGGTTCTTGCCGTTCTAACTCCAAAGAGAGAATTAACAAAATGGGCAAATATATGTACTTTTCTAAACAATCGAAAATCACTAACGATTTTCCTTTTATAAATGACACACCAGGTGATTCTAAATAGGTTGTTGCTTATTACATAATTTCTTGCCTAATTGATCACGTAAACGAGAACTACTATAAAGTAAAAAATAAAGATAATTGCTGAATTGGATGTAAATTGAATTGTTAATTAGCATGGAATAGATTTCTACTTAGTATAGAAGAGATATTCTTGTAAAACTCTATTTATTGCAAACAAAAGAATATTGTGACCAAAAGAAAAAGAATTAACTGAGGTTGACGTAAAGCAATTCGTATCAAGTAAACCAGGAGAAAATAAGTCTTAATTTTAAAAAAATAAATAAGCAAATAAAAAAATAAAATTGGGGAAAATTTTTTTCATTAGTGTGTTTTGTACTTAAAGCTGCTTGCAAACAACAAAAATTATTAATTGGCAAAAAATTCCAACTACATAGTGAAAAAATACTGTAAAATGTACACCGATACCCAGGGTGCCGGTACTTTTTACTGCAAAAATTGATTTTACTGTAAATCAAATTAATCCGAAAAATGTTACGATATCTGATACATCATAATTTTTAAAGTAATAATTATTGAAAAATAACTGTTGTTAAATAATTATTACTGTAAAATATACGGTAAAGATTTTGGATTTAAAGCTGGATTTTACAGTAAAATTAATTTTGAGGATGATGCACCCAAGGTGCTAGTACTTTCTACCGTAATTTGATCCGGAAATTTTTACAGTATAGTTAAAAAAACAAAAATTTGAGAGCTAATTTTCTAAATAATATTTTTTACAATCAATTTTAATTTGATATTTTTTTAAAAAATATTCTTGCTAAATTTTTAAAAAAAAATTTTTCACGAACAATTTAATTAGCTAAATTTTTCCAAAATAATATTTTAGCCAAACAATTTTAAATTGGTCAATTTTTCAAATAATATTTTGTTTTAAAAACATTAATTTGCTAAATTTTGTTAAATAATCTTTCGTACAAACAATTTTAATTTGCTAAATTTTTTGAAATAATATTTCGTACAAACCATTTTAATTTGATGAATTTTTTGAAATAATATTTCGTACTAACACTTTTTTTTTCTGCTTCGTTATAAAGACAACAAAAAATAAAAATAGAATTTAAAGTTAACTTAGTTTTCCATTCACAAGCGATTGATCAAAAAAATATAATTATTATTTATCTAAACATATCAAAATTTAAGAATATTACTACTAGGGATAGGGCTTTATCAGTGGTAAAATTATAAAACTTTTAATAAAATGTAATAACATATTTTATTTTGATTCCGGACATATTACGTATACTTTCTTCATACTCTTGTAATGGATTCCTAATGGTGATGAATTTTTAATTTCAAGACAATTAAAACTTCGAAACGTAATGTGTCACTGTCATTTAAATCAAAATCTTAAGCTAACTAAAGATTTTACAGAGTATAAAAACAGGAATAGAATGACAATTCAATGTTTGTTAATCATAACAAGGAACACCCCATTACACAGTGGGCCAGCATCCAAGGTTTCGTGGCCAAAATTAGCATTTCGATAAAATTTGCTTCAAAATTTGGGTGTTTTTATTTAGGGTTTTTATGTGCACGTAAATTGAATTCATAATTGAAATTTTGATATACACTAAAAATACCAAAAAAACAAACAAAATGACGGCTGAAATATGGCGAGCAAAAAAAAAAAAATATGTATATATATATACATATAGTACGTTTAAATAATTAAATATAGCAATGAAAATATAATAATTTTCGTAATTTTATATTAAAAATGAAAAGTAAATTATATTTCCGAAGTAATATTACAAAATAACGCGAAAACTTGAAAAAAAAACATAATTTTTGTTTTTCGGTATATTTAGTCCACCTTTGCAATATGGGTAAAATGGGGCAGGTTTTTTCGAAAGAAGAAACATCAAAGAAGACAACAAAAAAAAGTTTAACTAATTACCTCGTGGTACTTTTTGGAGATAAAGTTTCGAAAGTGATTCAAACATTGTAAAATGTCAAATGATAAGATATAAACTATTAGTTTGTCAAGAGCATTAACTGTTCCAACAAATTTAAAAATTGTACTGTAATTTCAGACTAATTACTCTGATAAAAATGTAACAGAAAGGTGAAATTCCTATATATATTTCTGAAATATAAATTTAAAAGTTGCATTTAAAAAAAAATTTAACCTATTTTTCACTACATTGTATTCTTGTTGGTCCAAAAAGTAAATTGTAATGTTTGGAATGATTATGAATACTTAATTTGGGCGACATTAAAACTGCCTACACATATTTTAGTTGAAAATTTAATTTTGACTTTTGGCCAAAGATCATGGTCTNAAAAAAAAATTTAAAATAGAATTTAAAGTTAACTTAGTTTTCCATTCACAAGCGATTGATCAAAAAAATATAATTATTATTTATCTAAACATATCAAAATTTAAGAATATTACTACTAGGGATAGTGCTTTATCAGTGGTAAAATTATAAAACTTTTAATAAAATGTAATAATATATTTTATTTTGATTCCGGATATCTTATATAATATCTTATGTAAAATTACAAAACTTTTAATAAAATGTAATATAATATATTTCATTTTGATTCCGGATATCTTACGTATACTTTCTTCGTGCTTTTGTAATGGATTCCTAATGGTGATGAATTTTTAATTTCAAGACTATTAACATAAACGTCCAAGCGTAATGTGCTAAGCTCATTTAAATCAAAATCTTAAGCTAACTAAAGATTTTACAGAGTATAAAAACGGGAATGGAATGACAATTCAATGTTTGTTAATCGTAACAAGAAACACCCCATTATAAGTGTTTATTTTTCAACTTAGAAAATTGTGTGACGTGTTGTCAAGTTAAGCACTTTGCACTTGTTCACAGCACTTCTATCTGATATAAAATTGTCAACCGATACTAGATGTGACAATTTATGTCCTTTATGTGAGTTTTTAGGCGAGATTCGAAACATTAAATATCTATTAAGTACTTCAGCACTTAATGGATTCGTTACAATTTTTCAATGTAAATTATCTAATTTGTTGTTAATAACTTGTAACTATAAATTGTTAAAAAAAAAAAGAAAGAAAGAAAGAATGATCAATAAGTAAAATAAACTTTCTTAACGTCTAGAGGACGAATAAATGACCATAAAATAACAGCTTTTAATATAATTATATATATTTGAAATCTTTGTCAGAAATAAAAACAAAACAGTATGAACGTTGTGATTGAAAATTAATATTAGCAACGAAAGAGTAAAAACGTTATTGAAAACTGATAAAGCACGATTAAGGAAGGTGGTTGTACATAACATCAAAACCAGTTTGATTACATGTTGAAACTTGAGTATGTTTCGAATAATTGATATTGTCAGGCTCTTCTTAATCAGTTGTGCTAGTTCCTTTGCCGTCAGGCTAACCGTGGAAGATTTATATGGTTCTCCTCTCTATGTACCGGAAAGGAGGGTTAGTCCCATCAAAAAGTTCGCCACGAAGGCAAATATCTCCCAATACTTGATCCAATAGTTCCGTCTTCTTCTGGATTGGGTTCGAAATTAATAGACTACGGAGTTGAACTTTGGTAGTCGTAAACTCAATAATTGAGTCAGCTGTTCAACTACGGTTATAAAATAAAATAGAATAAAATAAAATCAGTTTTGATACATTGAATTGCTATAGCGTTTATGTTTTTCATCGCTAAATATTAATTTCAGGCCCCGTGATGTGCACGCCTTTTTCTTTTTTCATTTTAAATAAGGATAATGTATAGCGCATTAAGAGCATACTGCATAGACAAGAATTTACAAAATTTGTTACTATCTCTCTCCATATATAGTTCAAAAGGAAAAAGTTAAGAATTAAAGACTGCAAATTTTGCGTCATCCTGAAAAATAATAAAATATAGCATCCAACTTAAATGACTTATACGTCACTTATACCACCATCTTAAATACCTTAGACGTCACACTATTACCTCACATCGAGTATGAATGTGAGGTGATAGTTTGACGTATAAGGCATTTAAGGTGGTGGTAGCTTAGTTCAATGATTCCGAAGTAACGTAATTTTAAAAACCGATTCTCTGTCCAGGCAATAGAAACTTTGAGTAATAAGTTGCGACAAGATGGCATTATAATTATAAAATATCCTAAAAGATTTATATGTGTAATGTTGTTCGGATTTATACATTACGAACTCTACTTTTTATTATTCTATAACTGGTGTAGAAAAGCCAATCTATATCAGAAATACACTTCAACTCCGTAGCTTTGTAATTTTGTACACAACTCAGAGGACGTTGGAGCTCTTATGTCATGCAATGGAGTTAACCTCTCTTGGTGGAGGACGTTTTAATAGAATTAATCCGCTTTTGCGTTATAAAGAAAGGAAAACCTCGAAAGGTTAGACTGACGGAAAGAGTATTCTATCCCATCATACGTTTACTACTGGGGGATGCTTAAAGATAGTCGGTGTAAGCCGTGAGCTATATGCGAATTGACCATCTATAGTCTGCATCCGAACCTTGGTCGCCTCAGTTTTAAGCGAGCGCTCTATCCCCTGAGCCATCCCTCTTTCATCTCTATTTATAAGCATCATTTCTGTTTTTAATTAATAATAATAATGTCATTTAAAATAATTAATAAATATTCATATACTACTTTGATAAAAACTAGACAACGTTTAGAAATTTAATTTATTTATAATTTTGGAATTCCGTAGGAAAGAAAAATAAATGAAAAATAAATGTGAAATGAATGTTGAAAATAATTAAAATATACTGATTAAAGGGTCTATAAATCCCTGGTACTCGGTCATCACGGCACCTAATATTTAACCTGTTTTTTATCTTTAATTTAATCAGGGTGCGTAACAAAATTTAACAAAATATAAGCACCTTTCAAATACTGAAAAAATATTTTTAAGCACTTTTTATATAGATAAAAAAAATTTACAATTAACGTAAGTTA